GACTGACTCACAATGAACAAATGTAAATAAACCTCAATACAACCCTGTTGGCTAACTTGTAAAACAAACAAAATATAAATATATATATAAATCTATTCTCAGGCTTATTAAGAGAGATTTGAAATATTTTCTTTTAATAAATTTTTGAACAATGAAAAAAAGCTATTTTATGGCTGTTAGAAGTGGATCAAGATGATATATTTGACAAATAACTTCTAGTCAGTTCAAATATCAAGTCTAGTAAATTTCAAGGCTATCTAATCCAAAATAAGCCCCTCCACATACAAAATAGTTTTAACACCGTCTGACTATTGCCCCCATTTCAGGTTTTGGCATTTCTGCTTAAAACCATTATCTTGCTTAGTTTTCTTGGGGATATAAGTAGAAAATTTTGACATTCTTTGAGTGAAGTCTAATAATTTGAGTAGCCCAACAAAAGTTGTATTTGCCTGAAGTAATTTTCCAATTTAGCTAAAATAACAACCACATCTGGTTTTGACTGAAAAAAAAAATCATCTCACTGTACCAATACTGATCACATGCTAAGAGCTGATTATTGATGAGAAGCAAATTTAATTATATTATGGAAAAATAACTAATTTATTTATTAGTTAAAATACTTAGAGTTTAAACAACTTCTTTAAAGCATTTCACTGTGCAGTCCTAAAATCATATTTATATAATTCATTTACTCATTTAAATCCATTACTTTCTGAGTTCACTCTTCAATCCATCCTGAAGATTTTTCCTGAGCCTCTACCATGTTCTGTATCCTGGGGCTACAAAGATAATGCCATAATAGAACAAATAGTCCAGTATAGTAAAGAAATAGTTTTGGAAAAAATTACCATACAGTATGCTTAAGTATATGGTGCCCAATCAGGAAATGGTTGACTTTTGTTTGAGGGCCAGAAAGACATTATAAAAAAGTCTGATTTGGGTCTTCAAGATGAATCAGTGTTGCACACAAACAATTGAAAAAATAAGTTCTACATTAAAAAGAAAAGCAAAGAAAAAGATGAATAGGAGTTCTCTAAGCGATACTATGAAGCCAGACTCCACTGCCCCTGGTTGTTCACTCAGTACCTTAGTTCAACCCTTGTGTGGCCTGCATACTCTTTGGTGTCCTCCTTTCCTGGACTGCAGGTACCTGTGATATACACTGTATATAAACCATGTGACTTAGCATCTGTTTGGTGTAAGAGTCATGTATTTGTTCATACTAATAACACTGGGGAAGGAACCTCTTCCTTAACTACAGTATGAGTAGGAACTAATGAACACCTCCTATCAGGGAAATATTAAACCCTCTGAACCCCAGCTAAGAGATGTTATGTAAAATTTCTGTTCCCTGCCAATAATTTCTCATTATTAATCTTAATTTTAGAGGAAGAAGAAAAATGCATAAGACATTATTTTTGATAAAAATATTTCTATTCAGTTATCATAACTAATCTTCTAAATTTTGTTATATAATAGGGAGAAGTGCATTTTGGAAACAAAAGTTTTCAGACAATATTTTGTTTGTGAACTATTAAAATAAAGGGATGGTAAGAGCTTATCCTTTAGATGCCATTTTTATGAATTCTTAAAATTCATATATCCTGTGCTAAAGAGATGATTCTAGCATCTGACATGGGGCCTGTAGGTGAAGGCCTATAGGTAAAGATGTAGAACTCTTATTTGTCTGGATTTGTAAAAAGGAGGAAAATAGATTCTGATGAGCAATGAATTTCACAGTTCCATGTCCTGGTGGGACAAGTTTAATTAAGGATATGGCTAAATCAAGATGACAATGAAGAAATGAGAAACCGGAGGCAAATCTAAACAAGAGGACAGGGTAGAATGTATTCTAAAAAATTGTATAAAACATTATAATAGAGAACTGGTTCTTTTATTTGTTTACAAATTTACCAGAACATCTATATTCAGATCATTATTTTTTTCCTTTGAAAATGATTGCCTTGAAGGACCAGTCACTTATTCTAATTAGTTTGTAATTGCTTATCACATTTTGATGATTTCTTTAGTACCTGTCTTGGAAACTCATGGCACATATTTCTGAATGAACTTAGGGATGGTAGATTGTTGAAATTTGAAAGTGGATTTGAACTAGATAGGCTGAAAAGCTTCCTATGGTAAAACACTTAGAATTGATGATCAAAATTCTAAAACTAGGTAGAATATGTGAAATTACCATCTTTTTAGGTCATTTTCAGTCAAACACTGGCAAGTGTAGTCCAATTCAATAGACAGCTTTAGCACATAAAAAAAGTATGGGAAATCCCAAAGGACCAAATACCATACCAGACTGAAATTCAGAATCTTCATCTGCATGCAGATGCTTTGGTTGTTCTGAAGGTATTAAACTCACTAATCATAAGAATGTGCATTTATTGTTAACTAGGCAAGGGGAAAGAAAGACTTGGAACTGAGCAAGATAGAGAACTGAAATTGCATCATTATCATAAAGCCAGGATTTTTGAAAGGTTGTACTCTCAAGTACAGGATGGAAAAGATGAGAAAAAGACATTTACAAAAGAAAGACAAGCACATTTTCTAATTAATGTAGGCTCAAGGTAGGAAAAAAAAAATAAACTTTAACCACAAGCTTGCTCTCCAAGGTGGGTTTAAAATTTGAATCCACACAACTCATGTAATGCTGCTTAGAAACTTTGCCCAAATCTTTGGATAACTATTGAGTAATAAATACATGTGTCCATGAAGTCCAGTAAAGGATAAAACCATGGAATAGAGGTTTCAGTTTCTGCCTACAATCAGGCAGAGTTTGGAGTCCAATTAACTTCATGTTAAAACTAATTTAAAAAAATTTTTCATGAGACCATAACAGAATCTGGAGTCATTTATAATATGTCATTCAGTCTCTAATCCATAATATCTGTACAGTCAAAAAAACAGAACAATGCCACCAATATTCAAGGGTAGAAATCAACCCCAAGTTTTTCCAGGTGTTGTAATTATCTGGTAAAGGTTTTAAAGATATTATTATAAATATGCTCTAGGATATAAATGAAAATATTATCATAATGAATTAACATATAAAAATTGTCAACACAAAAATAGAAACTATAAATTAGAATCAAATGAAAATGCTAGAATTGAAAAATAAAATATTGAAAATAAAAAGTGCACAGGATTGGCTTAAGAGAAAATTTGAGATATAGAAAATCAATAAAATTGAAGATAGATCAATAGAAATTACCTGATTTGAAAAATGGGACAGACAAATATTGAAGAACTGAACAGAGCTTCACTGATGTGTGGGATATATCAACATATAACTGGAGTCTCAGAAGGAGGATAGGAAGAGAGAGAAAATGGAGTGAAAAAAATAATACCAAATTTTCCAAATTTGGTGAAAGACAAAAAAATGTATACTTTCAAGAATCAATGGATGTGTAACCGATGTGATTCTGCAATCTGTATACGGGGTAAAAATGGGAGTTCATAACCCACTTGAATCAAAGTGTGAAATATAATATATCAAGAACTATGTAATGTTTTGAACAACCAACAATAAAAAAATTAAAAAAAAAGATGAAAGCAAAAAAAAAAAGAATTTCAGATACTCCCAAGAAATTTTAATACAAAGAAAACCAGGCATAGACACATGACAAACTGCTAAAATTCAAATATAAAGTGAAAATCAACACCCTACAGACAGAGCAACAGAAATACATGATGGCTAACTTCTCAGAAACAATGGAGGCCAGAACATGGTGGAATAAGACCTTTGAAAAGGTGACAGAGAAAGAAAACTCTATATTCTATATTTCTTCAAGAATGAAGCAAGATAGAGATATTTATAGCTAAAAGAAATCTAAGAGAATTACTTGATAGCAGAGACTTGCATTACAAAAAAAATTGCTAAAGTAATATTTTCAAGATGAAGGGAAATAATGGCAAATAGAATCCAAGAACTTCAGTAAGGAATGCAGATCATAGGGAGTGGTGGTTATGTGGCTAACTAGGAAATGTGATTCTATTCAAATTTCTTTAAAATGCACATAACTACTTCAAGTTTACACTACAGTAATATTTACAGCATATTTAAATGTCATTTGCATAGCAATTAGAGCACAGAAATAAGAGGATGAACTGAACTGTAATTGCAAGCTTCTTGTTTACTGTGTGACGTGATCTAAGATTTTGTGTTGCTTGAGTTACACCTCAGTATGAATGAAAAAATTTCAAGGCTTCTCCTCCCCCCCAAAAAAACATAGCCTATAACTCCTGTATTATTTGGTGTAAGGAACACTAGCTGACACAATAGACAAACCCTGACATTTTAATGACTTGACACAATTGATGTTTGCTACCTTCCCACATTATAACTTGTTGACACTCAGTTTGACCCTCTGCACAGCCCCCTCTAATAGTGACTCAGTAATGTTTTCTACTCTCATCTTGCATGTCAGTTATCTGTAGAAGATGAGAGAGAGAGAGCGGCGTGGTTCAGGGCACCGAAGAAAAGTCATATCCATTCCTAACTGCCTTTCACCAGAGGTTACCCATCATTTTTTTTTATTGCATTCAGTAAAAATCAGTCATAAATCCATACATAAATTCTTGAGGCTAAGGAGATGTTGTACAACTGTGTTCAAGCAAATAAAAGAAAGTGATGAATACTTGGCATTATCTCTGCCACATGCCCAAATTAATGGATAGAAAAAAATGAACAAGGAAAATAACTTTAATTAATTAAAATGAAAACAATTAAATAAAAAGTAAAATAGAAAAAAGCAGATCAAAAACAGAACAAACAGCCTCATTTCTTTATGGTTGCACTTTATATTAGAGAGATTGTTTTCACAGGGGAAATTGGACGAATGTGGAAAGTGTCTTCATATTAGAGAATAGCTCATCAAATGATTCAGTTATTTTTTTCCTTAGAAAATTAAGATATATAGGGTTTGCTTTTCTACTACATTGGTATTTGATTGGAAGCCTCACATGAGAAATATTTCATTTATCACTAGGCACTAGATGAACCAGCCAAGACTGAAAATGTGTCCAAGGACAGCACATTAGACCTTCCTGTGGAGGTAATGACTTCAGATTACCCTGCTTGTGGCTTGCAACCCTGGAACTCACTGCTAACTCAGAACCTGGTTTCAATTTTTCCAGTTTTGTTATCCTGCACAGCTCAGGCAGAAAACTGAAGAGCTCTGTGCTACCATTGATAAGGTCTTGCAGGATTCCTTGTCTATGGTAATGCCTTAGAATAGAATGTGCTATTCAAACATTTGCTTAGCTTCTCTTCATTTCCCTCTACTTTAGTATGATGCCTCACAGGACTGTCCTTTTCTTTTCTTTCTTTCTTCTTTCTTTTTCTTCCAGCATTCTTCTGATTCTCCTTCAAGGTCCCATCAGACATTGTTGGGTTCTGAAACAATCAAAGTATGTATATATTTATTATAATTTACTGATCCATAGATTTGCTAGGTCAGTGATTTTCAAACTGAGTCAAAGCCCAATAGTCAGTTGGGAAATTGGTAGTTAGTAAACCAATAAATAAAAATGCCACCAGCATATAAAAATAGTACAATATCAGGTTCTATTTGAAGTACTGTATAGCTGTGGTTGACATTTGTTTCTGTTTGTTTACATGTTCACATGTGTACAAATTTGCATAGTAAATCTATTTCTTACTTGGGTCATGTTCAAAACAGTTGGAAAACGTACTAGAGTACGTAGTTGTATGTTGGCATTTTATAGAACTAGATGTAGAATCTGTGACTTATCTCAAACTATAGCTTCATTATTAATGTAATTACAGCTACTTAGAATTGTTAAACTGGAAAATGAAGTGGACTAAAATAGCACTATTCTAATAACTTTAATATAGGTGTATTTCTGGATTTTTAAAATTTGATTGACCAAATTAATTTCATTGTACTTTGGGACAGAATGCTAAATATTTTAGATTGCTAAAGTACTACTAGGCTATTTGTTGTTGTAATTAAATATGTGTTTCCTTCATAAAATGTAGTCATTTTTATATGGAAAAATATTATACTTCTCTGAATTATTTTTCAAATATTTATATATATTGTATTTTTTTCAAATGTTTATATTGGTGAGTATAAGTTTACTCACCCAAATTTCAAAATGCATGTGGCTTTTCCTTTATTGATAACTATTATTATAATTATTATTTTCTTTTTTGTCCTCCTTATTTTCTGTCTTGGAGTTAGTACTTTCTGCATGTCTTTTCAAAAAATGGGACATTGATGTCTGACATAGGTTTTAAAAATGCAGAATTCTTCATAACTAGAAGAATTATCCTAATTTTTAACTGGAACATTATTGAAAAATATTAATTATTAGTAAAATAGAAGCCTGGGAACTGATTGTTGTCAATATCAATAAATTATATTTTTAACAGAACCCACAAACATAGTTTCTGTATTTGGAATCTATTTTGTTGTATATCCATTAAGTCTATTAATTCAAAATTTTGTTGTATCAAAAATAACATTATTTTATAAAAATAATTATTATTTAAAATAAATTTTTAAAATTTAACTTGTTGAACATGTAAAATATGTATTATATTAACTATAGTAATTGTATTTAAGAAGTTATATATGAATAGTAATATATATTTTATTGATTTAACAAATATCTAGTACTCATTATATTAAAAATGATATTTTAGGTCACTAGATTTCAGGCAATTTTTCTTGAACAATTTTTTAAAAAAATTTTATTTAATATGTAATATTTATACATATTTTTATATACAAGGTAATGTTATGATTCATGTATACAACTCAGTAAGTAGCATATCAATCACCTTAAGCTTTTATAAATTCTTTATGATAAGTGCATTCAGATTCCTTTCTAATTACTTTGAGGTATATATAAAGTTTTATATTTATTATATCCACCCTGCTCTGCCATAGAATACCAGAACTTATCCCTTCTGTCAAGCAATTTTATGCTACCAGTTGATTGACCCCTCCCATCATAACCCAGTTTAATCAACAATCCCTATCTGCTCTCAACTTCTATAAGATCAACTTTTTCAGATTCTGTTTAGAACTGAGATCATGTGGTGTTTGTGTTTCTGTTCTTGACTTATTTCACATTTCTCCAGTTCTATTAAGATAGAATAGAATATTCTAATTTGTTATATATAACAGCAGAATGCATCACAATTCTTACTACACATAGAGAGCACTTTTTCATATCTCTGGTTGTACACAAAGTAGAGTCACACCATTTGTGTCTTCATGCAGGTACTTTGGGTAGTGATGTTCATCTCATTCCACCATCTTTCCTCCCCCCCATATACCCTTTCTTCCCCTATTTCCCCTTTGCTCTATCTAGAGTTTGTGTAATCCACCCATGCTCCCCCCCACCACTTTATGAATCAGCATCCTTGTATCAGAGAAGACATTCGGCATTTGGTGTTTTGGGATTGGCTAAATTCATAGAGCGTTATATTCTCCAACTCCATCAATTTACTTGCAAATGCCATGATTTTATTGTCTTTTAATGCTGAATAGTATTCCACTATGTGTATATATATCACATTTTCTTTATCCATTCATCAACTGAAGGACATCTAGGTTGGTTCCACAGTTTAGCTATTATGAATTGTGCTTCTATAAACATTAATGTGGCTGTGTCCCTGTAGTTTGCTGTTTTTAAGTCCTTTGGGTATAAACTGAGGAGTGGGATAGCTGGGTCAAGTGGTGATTCCATTCTCAATTTTCTGAGGAATCTCCATACTGCTTTCCATATTGGCTGCACCACTTTGAAGTCCTACCAGCAATGTATGAGTGTACATTTTTCACCACATTCTCACCAACATTTATTGTTGCCTGTATTCTTGATGATTGCCATTCTGACAGGAGTGAGATGAAATTTTAGAGTAGTTTTGATTTGCATTTCTCTAATTGCTAGAGATGTTGAATACTTTTTCATATATTTGTTGATCAATTGTATTTCTTCTTCTGTGAAGTGTCGGTTCAGTTCCTTAGTTCATTTATTGATTGGGTTATTTGTTTTATTAGTGTTAAGTTTTTGAATTCTTTATATATCCTATAGATTAATGCTTTATTGGAGGTGCATGTGGTAAAGATTTTCTCCAAATCTATAGGCTCTATCCTCAAGTTATTAATTGTTTCCTTTGCTGAGAAGAAGCTTTTAATTGGAATCCATCCCATTTTTGATTCTTGATTTTACTTGCACTTTAGGAGTCTTGTCAATGAAGTCAGATCCTAGGCCAATGTGATGAAGATTTTTTCTTCTGTTAAGTGCAGGGTCTCTGTTCTAGTGCCTAAGTCTTTGATCTATTTTGAGTTGATTTTTGTACAGGGTGAGAGATAGAGGTTTAATTTCATTTTGCTACATATGGATTTCCGGTTTGGTCTCACCATTTGTTGAATAGGCTATATTTTCTGCAGTGAATGTTTTTGGCACTTTTGTCTGGTATGAGATAACCATATTTATGTGAGTTTGTCTCTGTGTCCTCTATTATGTACTATTGGTCTACAAGTCTATTTTGGTGCCAATATCATTTTGTTTTTGTTACTATAACTCTGTAGTATAGTTTAAGGTCTGGTATTGTGATGCCTCCTGCTTCACTTTTATTGCTAAGGATTGCTTTAACTATTCTGGGTCTCTTATTTTTCCAAATAAATTTCATGATTGCTTTTTATATTTCTATGAAGAATGTCATTGGGATTTTAATAGGAATTGCATTAAATCTGTATAACACTTTAGGTTTTATGGCCATTATGACAATATTAATTCTGCCTATCCAGGAGCATGGGAGATTTTTCCATCTTCTGAGGTTTTCTTCAATTTCTTTCTTTAGTGTTCTGTAGTTTTCATTGTAGAAGTCTTTCATCTCTTTTGTTAAATTGATTCCCAGGTATTTTTTTGAGGGTATTTTTAATGGAGTAGATTTTCTAATTTCTCTTTCAGTGGATTCATCACTGATGTATAGGAATGCATTTGATTTATGGATGTTGATTTTATATGCTGCTACTTTGCTGAATTCATTTATTAGTTCTAAAAGTTTTCTGGTGGGATTTTTTGGATCTTCTAGGTATAGAATTATGTCAACTGCAAATAGTCATGGTTTGCGTTCTTCTTACCTATTTCTATCCCTTTAATTTTCTTTCTTTTTTTTTGTCTAATTGCTCTGGCTAGCATTTCAAGGATGATGTTGAATAGAAGAGGACATCTTTGTCTTGTTCCAGTTTTTAAAGGGAATGCTTTCAATTTTTCTCCATTTAGAATGATGCTGGCCTTAGGTTTAGCATATATAACTTTTACAATGTTGAGGTATGTTCCCACTATCCCTAGTTGTTTTATGTTTGTGTTCTCAATAGCTGCCATTCTGACTGGAGTGAGATATAGTTTTGATTTGCATTTCTCTAATTGCTAGAGATGATGAACATTTTTCATATATTGGTTGATTGTACATCTTCTTCTGAGAAGTGTCTTTTCATTTTCTTGGCCTATTTATTGACTGGGTTATTATTGGTTTTTTTTGTGTATGTGTATTAAGATTTTTGAGTTCTTTATATATCCTAGAGATTAGTGGTCTATCTGATGTGCGTGTGGTAAAAATTTGCTCCCCAAATGTAGACTCCCTATTCTCCTCACTTGATTGTTTCTTTTGCTGAGAAGAACTTTTTAATTTGAATCCATCCCATTTATTTTTTCTTGATTTTAATTCTTGTGTTATAGGAGTCTTATAATGCATTTACAATAAAATCCCAATAACATTCCTCATATAATTAGAAAAAGCAGTCATGAATTCATCTGGAAAAATAAGAGACCCAGAATAGCTAAAGCAATCCTTAGCAAGAAGAGTGAAGCAGGAGGCATCACTATACCAGAACTTAAGCTATACTACAGAACAATAGTAACAAAACCAGAATGGTATTGGCACCAAAATAGACTTGTAGACCAATGGTACAGAATAGAGGATACAGAAACAAACACCCATAACTATAAGTTATCTTATATTAGACAAAGGTGCCAAAAACATACATTGGAGAAAAGATAGCCTCTTTAACAAATGGTGCTGGGAAAACTGGAAATCCATATGCAACAAAAAGAAATTAAACTTTTATCTCTCACCATGCACAAAACTCAACTCAAAGAGGATTTCATATTTTTAATGGCTAAATAGTATACCATTGTGTATATTCACAATATTTTCTTTATACATTTATCTGCTAATAGAAATTTATGTTCATGCCATATTCTAATTATTGTGAATAGTGCTGAAATAATCCTGGTAGTAAAGGTGTCTTTCCGAATGTTAATTTAATTTCTCTGGGTATGTACCAAGGAGTAGGGTTTACTGGATCATACAAGAGTTCTATTTTTAGTTGTTTGAGAAATCTCCATACTGTTTTCCACAATGGCTA